TGCTTCACCACTCTCTTAACCTCTCTCTTTTTCTCCATATACTCTTCCCTCCTTGCATCACTTCTACTTTGTAAAAACTTCTCATATGCTAACTTTTTCTCCCTTACTACTCTCTTTACATCATCATTCCACCAATCGCTCCTCTTCCCTCCTGCACCCACTTTCCTGTAACCACAAACTTCTGCTGAACACTCTAACACTACATTTTTAAACCTACCCCATACCTCTTCGACCCCATTGCCTATGCTCTCATTAGCCCATCTATCCTCCAATAGCTGTTTATATCTTTCCCTAACTGCCTCCTCTTTTAGTTTATAAACCTTCACCTCTCTCTTCCCTGATGCTTCTATTCTCCTTGTATCCCATCTACCTTTTACTCTCAGTGTAGCTACAACTAGAAAGTGATCTGATATATCTGTGGCCCCTCTATAAACATGTACATCCTGAAGTCTACTCAACAGTCTTTTATCTACCAATACATAATCCAACAAACTACTGTCATTTCGCCCTACATCATATCGTGTATACTTATTTATCCTCTTTTTCTTAAAATATGTATTACCTATAACTAAACCCCTTTCTATACAAAGTTCAATCAAAGGGCTCCCATTATCATTTACACCTGGCACCCCAAACTTACCTACCACACCCTCTCTAAAAGTTTCTCCTACTTTAGCATTCAGGTCCCCTACCACAATTACTCTCTCACTTTTTTTTATTTTATCCTAATAGTTCTTGCTCTTACTGCTTTTCCTTTTACATCCATGGGGAAGTGGAATAAGAATGTTTCCTCTATAAGCCATGCATGTTGTAAAAGTCAACTAAAATGCCAGGAACAATGGGCTAGTAATCCCTTTTCCCATATAGCCTACTAAACAGAAAAAGAAAACCATCAAAGTGGGATGTCTGAATGTGTGTGGATGTTGTGCGAATGATGAGAAAGAGATGATCGTGGATGTTATGAATGAGAAGAAGCTGGATGTCCTGGCTTTAAGTGAAACAAAGCTTAAGGGGGTGGGAGAGTTTCAGTGGGGAGAAATAAATGGGATTAGGTCAGGGGTTTCAAACAGTTAGAGCTAAAGAAGGAGTAGCAATAATGTTGAAGGATAAGTTATGGCAGGAAGAGAGGGAATATAAATGTATCAATTCAAGGATTATGTGGAGTAAAATAAGGGTTGGATGTGAAAAGTGGATTATATTAAGTGTTTATGAACCTGGAGATGAGAGAAGTATAGAGGAGAGAGAGAGATTTTGGGAAATGTTGAGTGAGTGCATAGGGAGTTTTTGTGGTTGGGGATTTCAATGCTTAAGTGGGTAAAAATGTTGGGGAGGGAGTAGTAGGTAAATTTGGGGTGCCAGGGGTAAATGAAAATGGGGAGCCTATAATTGAGCTATGTGTAGAAAGAGGTTTGGTAATAAGTAATACATATTTTATGAAAAAGAGGATAAATAAGTATATAAGGTATGATATAGCACATAATGAAAGTAGTTTGTTAAATTATGTATTGGTGGATAAAAGGTTGGTGGGTAGGCTTCAGGATGTACGTATTTATAGAGGGGCAACTGATATATCAGATCATCATTTAGTTGTAGCTACAGTTAGAGTAAGAGATAGATGGGACAAAAGGAAAATGGCGACAAGAAATAAGAGAGAGGTGAAAGTGTATAAACTAAGGGAGGAGGAAGTTAGGGTGAGATATAAGCAACTATTGGCAGAAAGGTGGGCTAGTGCAAGTATGAGTAGTGAAGGGAGGTGAAGAGGGTTGGAATAGTTTTAAAAATGCAGTATTAGGATGTGGGGCAAAAGTTTATGGTTATAGGAGGGTGGGGGCAGGAGGAAAGAGGAGTGATTTGTGGAATGATGAAGTAAAGGGTGTGATAAAAGAAAAAAAGGTAGCTTATGAGAGGTTCTTACACAGCAGAAGTGTTATAAGAGCAGAGTATATGGAAAGTAGTGACAGAGTGCAAAAGGAGAGCAGATGACAGAGTGGGAGAGGCACTGACAAGAAATTTTGATGACAATAAGAAAAAAAATTGGAGTGAAATAAACAAGTTAAGAAAGCCTAGGGAACAAATGGATTTGTCAGTTAAAAATAAAGTAGGGGAGTTAGTAGATAGGGAGCTGGAGGTATTGGGTAGATGGCGGGAATATTTTGGGGAAATTTTTAAATGTCGATGAAGAAAGAAGACGGTAATTTCATGCACTGGCCACGAAGGTATAACATCTTTTAGGAGAGAAGAGCAGGATGTGAGTGAGGGGGAGGTGCGTGAGGCATTACGTAGAATGAAAGGGGGTAAAGCAGCTGGAACCGACGCGATCATAACAGAAATGTTAAAAACAGGGGAGGATATAGTGTTGGAGTGGTTGGTATTTTTGTTTAATAAATGTATGAAACCTAGGTAGTAGGTTGGTCGACAGCAACCGCCTAGGGGGGTACTACCGTCCTGCCAAGTGAGTGTAAAACAAAAGCCTGTAATTGTTTTACATGGTGGTAGGATTGCTGGTGTCCTTTTTTCTGTCTCATGAACATGCAAGATTTCAGGTACATCTTGTTACTTCTACTTACACTTAGGTAACACTACACATACATGTACAAGCACATATATACACACCCCTCTGGGTGTTCTTCTATTTTCTTTCTAGTTCTTATTCTTGTTTATTTCCTCTTATCTCCATGGGGAAGTGGAACAGAATTCTTCCTCTGTAAGCCATGCGTGTTGTAAGAGGCGACTAAAATGCCGGGAGCAAGGGGCTAATAACCTCTTCTCCTGTATAAATTACTAAATTTAAAAAGAGAAACTTTTGTTTTTCTTTTTGGGCCACCCTGCCTCGGTGGGATACAGCCGGTTTGTTGAAAAAAAAAAATGTATGAAAGAGGGGAAGGTACCTAGGGATTGGTAGAGAGCTTGTATAGTTCCTTTATATAAAGGGAAGGGGGACAAAAGAGATTGTAAAATTTATAGGGAGTAAAACACAAATAACCCGCACATAAAAGAGAGAAGCTTACAACGACGTTTCGGTCCGACTTGGACCATTTACAAAGTAAGTTTACTGAGTAAACCAGGAAAAGTGTAAGGTAGGGTTATTATTGAAAGAATTAGAGGTAAGACAGAGAGTAGGATTATGGATGAGCAAGGAGGTTTTAGAGTGGGTAGGGGATGTGTAGATCAAGTGTTTACATTGAAGCATATATGTGAACAGTATTTAGATAAAAGTAGGGAAGTTTTTATTGCATTTACGGATTTAGAAAAGGCATATGATAGAGTAGATAGAGGAGCAATGTGGCAGATGTTGCAAGTATATGGAATAGGTGGTAAGTTACTAAATGCTGTAAAGAGTTTTTATGAGGATAATGAGGCTCAGGTTAGGGTGTGTAGAAGAGAGGGAGACTACTTCCCGGTAAAAGTAGGTCTTAGACAGGGATGTGTAATGTCACCATGGTTGTTTAATATATTTATAGATGGGGTTGTAAAAGAGGTAAATTTTTGATTAATAAATGTATGAAAGAGGGGAACATACCTAGGAATTGGCAGAGAGGGGTGGGATTAAATTATGTGGAATCAAGTACAAAATGGGAGTTGACACAGTTACTTTTTGCTGATGATACTGTGCTTATGGGAGATTCTAAAGAAAGGCTGCAAAGGTTAGTGGACGAATTTGAGAGGGTGTGTAAAGGTAGAAAGTTGAAACCGTACTTAGATAAGAGTAAGGTGATGAGGGTATCAAATGATTTAGATAAAGAAAAATTGGATATCACAATGGAGAGAGGGAGTATGGAAGATGTGAATGTTTTCAGATATTTGGGAGTTGACGTTTCAGCGGATGGGTTTACGAAGGATGAGGTTAATTATAGAATTGATAAAAAATGTGAGTGGTGCATCTGAGGTATATGTGGTGACAAAAATATTATCTATGGAGGCAAAGAAGGGAATGTATGAAAGTATGGTGGTACCAAGTCTCTTATACAGGTGTGAAGCTTGGGTTGTAAATGCTGCAGCGAAGAGGCAGTTGGAGGCAGTGGAGATGTCCTGCCTAAGGGCAATGTGTGGTGTAAATATTATGCAGAAAATTCAGTGTGTGGAAATTAAGAGAAGTTGTGGAGTTAATAAAAGTATTAGTCAGAGGGCTGAAGAGGGGTTGTTGAGGTGGTTTGGTCATTTAGAGAGAATGGACCAAAGTAGAATAACATGGAGAGCATATTAATCTGTAGTGGAAGGAAGGCAGGGTAGGGGGTCATCCTCAAAAAGGATGGAGGGAGGGGGTAAAGGAGGTTTTGTGGGTGAGGGGCTTGGACTTCCAGCAAGCGTGTGTGAGCGTGTTAGATAGGAATGAATGGAGACGAATGGTTTTTGGGACCTGACGAGCTGTTGGAGTGTGAGCAGGGTAATATTTAATGAAGGGATTCAGGAAAACTGGTTATTTTTATATAGCTGGACTTGAGTCCTGGAAATGGGAAGTACAATGCCTGCACTTTGAAAGAGTGGTTTGGGATATTGGCGGTTTGGAGCGATATGGGAGATGGCCGACTTGTTGAAAAAAAAAAAAAAATCTAGACAATAGTATGTGACCGAGGTAGGTGAAAATGTTCACCTGTCAGTGTGTCTATGACTATTTGAGTACCTAATATTAGTGTCTTAACAAACACTGCTATGAAATCACAAGAACTACTACAAATTGTAATTATCAGAACATAAAAATTATATAAATTAAAAAAAGAAAAAAGAAAAAAAGGTATACCGGCAACACTTCTGCAAGTGGCATGACTCCATGTTGCTGTCAGGTGAGCATCCAGCGCCAACTTTGCTGTCTTGTATCTCGGTAAGTTCTGACCCTAAAATTTTTTCTTTGGTCTTATTATACACAGAAAATTGCCCTCATTAATTTACAAAAGAAAAACAAACAAAAAAAAAAAATATGGGCGATAGAACACAGATCTATGTTTGGACAGCAGACAGAGAGCTGCTAACATTGTACAACTTACTAATTGTCAAATCTTTACCTGTACTGCCAATTTCTGATCGGAACTCAATGCTCTTATCATGGTCCTCCTCATCATCATCCTCACCACCATTAACTGTGTTTTCATCATTGAGATCTTCTTCACCTTCAGTAAACACATCTGATTTCTGTAAAAATAATAATCAACACCTTAATAAACAGCAGTACAATATGTACATGTCAGCATGCTTCTGGCAAGACACCAATTGTAAGAATGGTAGTTAATAATTTTCCTCTTTTTGGGTCACCTACCATGGTAGAAATTGGCCAGTGTTTAGATTAGATAGTATCAGATTCTTTATTTCAGCATGATGCAATGTTTATACAAAGATGGGTGACATTTAGGTGTGCATGCGGAAAATCCATTAGTATGCAGAGCATTTTGGGCAAACTAAAGCCTAACTTATGACTAATAAGGCAATAATAATTGATAGCTTATATATATAGTCTCTAAATGGCTGTAACAATAAATTTAGGAATTAAGAACATAAGAAAACTGAACAAAGTACATTATTTTTTAATATGTACACTACTATACAACTGAAAAACCTTTTAAATATTGAAATAAATAATTTGGGAGGGATGTATTTAATGTTTTTCAGTCTAAAGAAAGCATTTTTAATTCTGACATTGCAGGACACACCTCACGAAATAAAGCAATTTTGAAATATGTACTGAGAGTGTGAATATAATGTATTAAAACCTAGTGGAACAGATACTACATACGCAGTGACACATTAACTTGTTTACATCTCATCTACATTGTCCTTATTTAACCCTTTGACTGTCACAAGCCCATTTCTGAAACTGTTATTCTATGTTGCAAAATTTTTTTGAAAAAAAAAAAAAAAATCATATGAAATGATAGAGAATCTTTTTCCGATAGTAATGACACCAAAAGTACGAAATTTGGTCAAAAATTCACAGAATTACGCTCCTGCAAAGTTAGTGGTCTCGGTGATATATACACATCGGCAATTTTGCCAACTCTGAGCCATGTTTTTGGCCAATTCTGTTGTTCCAGTTGACAAAACTCATAGCTATTTCTTTAGAACTCCATTTTTTCTATCAACTGAGTACAAGAAACTGCCCATTTACTGATTTGAACAACCCAATAAAGTGGTCAGAAATTGGCAATTTGGCCAATTTTGCACAAATTAAAAAAGATGCTAATTTCAAAATAGAGTCCAGAATAAACAATGTAGACATTCTTGGCACTAAAATAACATATCCTCTGTTCATTAGTCATGTCTCTAGGCCCCTCTTATATTACTATTGCTTTCTATTTTGATTTTTTATTCATACAAAAAAATACAAAATTTACTGTTATGCAGACTACTGCATTATTGTAAAAATGGTATAAATAATATCAGTGCACTAGTGAAAGAATATTAGGCTCATCAGTTGATGTGTATTTGAGCTCAATTTCAAGGTCATTTTCATCGTGAAACTAATCAAAATCATCTCTATTTCTGTAATATGTTTTCCAATTTATCACTTGAGACCATGAAAACGAGAATACAACAATAAATACTATACGAAAATACACCTCAAAGTCGGCATTTTAATAAAAAAAATGGTCAGATTTTTTTTCTCATTATGCACTGTGTGCTGCAGGAATTTTTTATGTGGTACACACTGACCACACAGACCCATTCTCTCACATGTGGGCCTACCAGCTTTCTCCTGCTTGATCTGAAGCCGCTAGAATTTACACGTATTAATACGTCCGAAACAGTGGCGCGTAAGACGTATATATACGACCAAAACAGTCAAAGGGTTAAAAGATAACATCCATAATATTAAAATGATTTTCTCAATTAAAATCTGTTTGTTTTTCTACTCAATGGTCACCTGCCGCCAAGGCACCGCGATCCATGGAAGTCAGAGGGTAATCTGACCGTCATGTCAGCGCACCTTGGGAAAGATGGCAATTAAATGAAAAGTTACGTTACATAAATTGTAAAACTAGAATTGCTGTGGTTCAGTTTACTACAACATGATTTTTTTTCACTAAAGGAAGAGTCAGCTTTAACTGAAATTATCATGGCACAGTAGAACCTGAGAGAACCATTTAACCCTTCTACTGTCTCCCACAAAGATCTATGTGAAAGATGCCAGTGTCACTCATGTACATAAAAACACTAGAAAGAAGGAACACTGTAGTAGACCTACTGGCCCATACTGGATAGGTCCTTCTCAAACCCAAACCACTAACAAAAATATTTGCCCAACCTATTTTTAATGCTACCAACCGATCTCTTCGTGATTTGATAAAGCTCGCTGTGTGGGCAAAGTGTTGTCAATAAAGGATTGCATTATCCTGCATTGGCATCTATTTTTCCATCCTGTCAGTATTTTATACCATTTATTTCCATCATATAAGCAATAATAAACAAGCAAGATACTGCACAAAGAGTGTGACTCCTTATTACAAGCATCGTGCTAATAATGATCGACATAAATACAGTGGACCCCCGCTTAACAATCACCTTCCAATGCGACCAATTATGTAAGTGTATTTATGTAAGTGCGTTTGTACGTGTATATTTGGGGGTCTGAAATGGACTAATCTACTTCACAATATTCCTTATGGGAACAAATTCGGTCAGTACTTGCACCTGAACATACTTCTGGAATGAAAAAATATCGTTAACCGGGGGTCCACTGTACTTGGTTTCCATTATACTTATAATCCACGTCACTTATTTTTGTAACCCTTGAGACTTGCTTTTGGGAAATGAAGATCTTAATCTCGCTCTCATTACAGTGCTGTTATATTAACAGGGAAATCCTAAACCTGTCATACACCATCATAGCAATGAGAAGTAATCAGATTAAATCCAAGAAAGGGAAGAGCAACTACAATTCCTTGGATCAAAAGCCTCTTACTATTATAAAGGCTTTCCATCTTCTTGAAGGTTTCTTACGAGCACTGTGCTTCACATTAGTGGTACATCATATGTAATTTATGTGTGTACACAAGCATACAGTGTAAGTTAAATCAACCCTCGGGTTTCCCTTACTTTATTCCACTGAATTTTCATAAAAACTCTCCCCCCCCCCCACACACACCATAAATAAATAATACGTAATCTCAAGCAAAAATTTCTAAAAAATATACACCTGCATACCACATTATAGTAACTTCACAAAATACTGTAGTACTTTTGTTCTATCATTGCTAGACAACTACAATTTTTATTTTTAAATCATAAATTATCTTGCAACTAGAATCTTTTTTTTTCTTGAGTTCCTATTAATACCAGGTATTAGACTCTTAAAAAATTAAAATAAAATTATGTATATTTTAGAACTAGACTAAGAACTGTCCAAAATGTAGTGCATTTATGGGCCTTTACATTACTGTGTTGTGTATTATGACGGTACAGTAATTTTAAAATAAAGAAATTTGAAAAAAAAATTTGCAAGCCTTTGAATAAAAATCTTCAGTGCTAATAGATTAATTGTTTTTGCTATGTTAATTAAAGTATGCAAATAAAAAAACATTTAGTAAATACCACATATTATTTCATTTACTTTTAAGAAACGTTAAAATAGAATTATCAAGAAATAAATCTAACAGATTTAAAGATAATACTCATAAACTTAACAAATTTATTAACAATAATCATGTAGTTGATATTTATAGAAACATAAACAACCTAATAACAAATATATTATCAGTATATAGGTACACATCCCTTCACATGTGCAACATCTGGGTATCTTTATTGTAGACGTTTCACCATCCAGTGGCTTTATCAATACAAATTCTAGGACATAACTTGAAGACAGTAGAACTATGTACAGAAGATGAGGTAATCAGTCCCTCAACCTAGGAGTAGGTGCGAACAACACCATAGTCGTGGAGATTCTGAATCTCCACGACTATGGTGCTGTTCGCACCTACTCCTAGGTTGAGGGACTGATTACCTCATCTTCTGTACATAGTTCTACTGTCTTCAAGTTATGTCCTAGAATTTGTATTGATAAAGCCACTGGATGGCGAAACGTCTACAATAAAGATACCCAGATGTTGCACATGTGTCTTACTCTCATCTTGTCGGTATTATATACCATTCGTACACACACATCCCTTCATCCGAAATTCTGAATTTCAAAAAGTTTCCAAAACTTAAGCTTTTCATGGAGTGTGGAGCGTCAGTCATCTCAGTGATGGGTCATGCCACTATGTGGTGGTGTTGAGAATCATTCTGAAATTTGAAAAAGTCTGAAATTCGAAACAATACTGGCTCCAAGGGTTTCGGATACAGGGATGTGGACCTGTACTAACAAAAACCAATACATTACAAAAGCATTCCAGTACAAAAATACCAAGAATATTTTGTAGTAAGCGAAGATGATGTGGAAAACATGCACAACAAACATGCAAAAGTTAAACATTAGTGACACTGTGTGTTCTGTCTCTGTTACCTGATAACCAGTTAAGATGTGGGGCCAGGAGCTATGACTAGAGAATGTCTGTGTTCTACCACTACTGTCCAATAACAGCAAGTTAAAATGAGAGGCCAGGAGCTATGACTTGAGGCAATCCATGCTCTACGACTAATGCCTAGTAACAGCAGGTTAAGATGTGGGGCCAGGAGCTATGACTTGACCTTCTAATTACAGATAGCCAAGGACAAGGGGATACAGGAAGCCCTCAATTTAACGGACTAATATGAGGGCAGCAGATGTCAGATAATGATGTTTGTGATGGACAGACATGACTGTGTTTTATCATATCATGTTTGCTGCAATAACATTCACTTCTGTAACCATCTGACTCTGCCCATTTTTTCCATTTTCAATGACTCAGTGGAATTTCCTCTGCATTTCTACAGTGTGTTAAATTGAAGTTTTATTATAAGTGAAGGTACGTACAAAGAATAAACTTTCAGTGGTAATTTACAAACTTACCAGGTAATACATCACACCTATAATTTGATTACTGCAAACCATTAGCTATCTCACTGTTATAATAAGGAAAATAATGTACAGTAGACAGTCGTTTAACACGGTGGTTATGTTCCTGAAAATGCCAAGGTAGTTAAAACCATGTTAGACAAACTGAAGAACTTATGGGAAAAATACGGTTATGTTGTTAACATTGGAAAAAATCCCTTGAAACTTCCCAAAAGTTCCACAAGGTACCATGGTAGTTAAGATTGTTGGGATTTTTAACCCACAGGTTATCCACCCAGGATAACCCAGGGTAAGAAGAGTTAGCCCCCCAGGATAACCCAGAGTAGGGAGGGTTCGCAACCCAGGATAGGAAGGGTTTGCCACCCAGGATAACCCAGGGTAGGGAAAGTTAGCCACTCAGGATAACCCAGAGTAGGGAGGGTTAGCCACCCAGGACAACCCAGAGTAGAGAATGTTAGACACTCAGGATACATGTCTCCCTGCTGGAAACCTTTACAAGTCTCCCTGCAAGAAACCCTTATATATTTCACTGCTGGAAACCCTTATATGTCTTCCTGTTGGAAACACTTACATCTCTCCCTGCTGGAAACCTTTACATCTCTCCCTGCTGGAAACCCTTACATCTCTCCCTGCTGGAAACCCTTCCATGTCTCCCTGCTGGAAACCCTTACATACCTCTCTGCTGGAAACCACTGCAGCATCCCTCCCTCTAAAAGTTCCAGCAGACACCCATATAGTAAAGGATAAATAGTATTCCAAAATGAGAAGATTAACACTGAAATATTCATACAGATACAATTAAAAGGCCAATTTTAAACATATTTAAATATGGCAACAAGGAAGCTGCCAGTAATGGCATATAAACCTACAAAATACATTAAAAATATCATAGAAGACACTGACTGCATATTGATCACATGCACAAGTTAGAGATCTAGTAGTAATGAAAGTATTTATAAAAAAGATCAAGACTAACACCCAAAAGTATGAAATATTACACAGCAACCTGTAAGCACTAATCACTTACATCAGAAAAGTAAACTTTCGATTTAACACACTTTGATTTAATGGTCTTTGGAAATGAGACATCATCTGCTTGTGATGCAGAAACAAAGATGTCCGTTAGTTACAGAATTGTCTGTAATTGTCACAGTTACTGCAAAACAATCTCATCTCTGTCCCTCACACTCATCATTACCAGCCACTCAGTGCTCTCCCTCTTAGTCCACTATACTGAAGGTTTACTTTCACTAGACGTACACTATACAGTGGTACCTCAGGATACAAACAGCTCAAAATTCGAACAATTATGTAATTGTATTTATGTAAGTGCTTTTATGTGTGTATTTCTGGGGGTCTGAAATGGATTAATCTAATTTACGTTATTCCTTATGGAAGCAAAGTCGTTCGGTATCGCCACTTGAACATCCTTCTGGAACAAATTAAGTTCATATCCTGAGGTACCACTGTATATATATTGTACTGTATATCATGCAACAGTGATAGAAACTGGTTTTACAGCAACCTCAGTAACGGCAAGGTGAATATTCAATACCAAACAATCTTTATAACGCAAGATATGCGATATAAAATATTCAATACCGTCAATGATAACGGGTGATGTGTAATTGTGGAGGCATATTTCGTGGAATACATACTTTAATTTTGGGAAATAAGATCAATGGAATAATCTTTTGGCAACATTCTGATACCATTTTGAAGCCTAACAATAAATAACTATTTTTGTAGTCAGCACCAAAGCACAGACACGATATTTCATTATACATAAAACTAATTAACTTCCTAAATCTTCACCACTACTTTCAACTGATCTATACACTGAAGACATCGAATCAGTTTGAAACTGCTCAAGAAATCCCACTTAACTGAAGATCACTGAATCAATTCTGAGTATTAATACATACTTAAAGTTGTACTATTGTTCATTTAGCTACCTCTCTTTTTGGTACATTTAAAAACTTCTACTTAATAATCCATGTCTGGTTTTTAATAGTCTTTAAACATTAGTATTAGTCTGCCTGAAATGCACCACATGTTACTGGATTTCTTTTGTGTCTAACAATATTTTATTACATGTAGACTACATTACTGTATACTTCAGAAAAGAAATTATTATATTTGTATTTGTCTGTACATTTAATTACCTTTTTCTTGTATATTTTTAAACATAGAGATTTAAATTAGTTTTCTAAGACTATGTGGCATCTACTCTGAGAAAGTGTAAGAAAGCATGTGAGAAGTGGCAGTCAATGATCAATTTAAAAAGTCTGCCCAAAATGCTCATGCATGCTAGTGGCTTTCTTTGTGCTTAACGATATTTTATTACACGTAAACTACACATTGTATACTACACAAAGAAATAAAATTTTGAATTTGAATTTGAAAGAGGATATACTGAATACTCTGTACCCGTGTGCAGTAATATCTTAATATCATAGTACTGTCTTTAATAAATAAGTAAAATACTCTACACATTACATTAATCAACACTGTATAGAACATTACTGAACAAAGAAAGGCATATACAGTACAGAGCATTACATAGTAGTCTCTAGTTTAAGCAACTGATATCCTCAAAAAACATAAGTCAGAGTTCTGTGGAGTTTTTTGTAAATTATATACAGTTCAGTAAGCTGGAAAACATAACTTCAAAATACTAAATTTTTAGGTACAGATTAATTTATACAGTATTCTAAGCTTTAAAAATTACTTGATAAGGCTTTGTTTATATGTATTAAATTCTATCCGAATCTGAGCTTTATAACTTACTCAATGATACTTTATTTATATGTATAAAGTTCCAATTTAATCTGAGCTTTATAATTTACTTGATAAACAGAATTCTGTTACCCAAAAAATTATCGTCAAAAAATATTGCCACAACTACTCGCTCCCTTATTAAGGATCACTAATAATAATGACTGTAACTCATTTGCATAATGAATTCGTAATATAAAAAGCTAACTGAGGTTGCTAGGCTGTGTCTTATAATAGAGTACCTTGCTTACAGATACCCTTCGCAACTTTCGAGGTCTTGGCAGGTCGAGCAGATTCTGGAAGGTTGTGATAGCAAATTACTTGAAAGTGAACTAGATTAAAGTGTAAAGAACAAAAAGGCACAATACATAAATAACTCGCAAAGAGAAGCTCCTGATGATGTTTCGGTCTGACCTGTACCACCGACTAGTCGTAACAACACACTAACATTTATGGATAAACAATTTATCATGTTAAAATAATTTTGTGTATTTATATATGTAAGCAAATAATAATTATTGCCATTATAGTCTTAAGTTGGGTTTAAGTTTTGACCGAAATGCTCTGCATAACTCTGGACTTTCTGCATGGACAACCAAATGTCATCCATCTCTGTACAAACACTATATCATGCTGAAAAAAATCTTTATCTTAATGGTCCAAGTCAGACCAAAACATTGTCATAAGCTTCTTTCTACTATGTGCAAGTTATCTGTGTAGTGTTAAATTGTAACTCTGAAAACTAGTAGATTTACACCAACATTTGAATATACTCCTCACTCTGGTATACAGCCTCTCCTCACTTAGCGACGTACTTGTTTACCGATGACTCAGACTTACAATGGGCTCTCTGACTAGTTTGCGTACCTAAATAATGTATGTGAGAGCTGATTTCCTTTATTTTGTTTATTACAATATACAGTACACTACTATACACAGTACACTACTGTATGAACATTTAAAAATATAACAGAAATGCTATAAATAGTGCAAATGTGACATTAAAACAATATCAAAGATGGCTGACACAAACCCACTACCATTATAGTATGCTCCTCACTTAGCGATGAATTTGTTTACTGATGTGGTCTTGGGAACGAAACTCTGTCGCTAAGTGAGGAGAGGCTGTGGGAAAATGTGACCATTCTTAATTTGTAGAACATTTCACTCAACACCGGGCTGGTAGGAAAAAGTACAGTATGGGTGGGCCTTGCTGAACACTGCTTCGCTATACAGTGTTTCACTAATGCAGAAGTTTTCAATTATACACGTTCTTCCTTTATTCAGACTTCCTACAATAAATATATTCAGCACTCACTATAAGCTAAGGATGACAATATTTTAAGGCATGTAATGTGTGTATGAAATGCCCTGGCATGATAGTGGCTTTCTTTGTACTTAGCAAACCAAAACTGTAATTACACATTGTCACCTTTGCAAAGAAATAAAATCTTTATTCTTTATATGCAATTTTAAGGCCTAACTCTATTGTTCACTTAATATATGATGGTGTTAACATGTTATCAGGCTTTTATATGCATTTGAAAGTGAAAAAGGCTATGTTACACTTTACAGTAGTAGCCAAGAACCTAGCCTGCTGTATAAGCAGGGCCCTCCTTTACAGCAGTAGCCTGGAACCTAACCTGCTGTATAAGTGGGGGCCCTCCTGTACAGCAGTAGCCCACAACATAACCTGCTGTTTAAGCAGGGTCCTCCTGTACAGCAGTAGCCTGGAACCTAACCTGCTGTATAAGTGGTGGCCCTCCTGTACAGCAGTAGCACACAACCTAACCTGCTGTTTAAGCAGGGCCCTCCTGTACAGCAGTAGCACACAACCTAACCTGCTGTTTAAGCAGGGTCCTCCTGTACAGCAGTAGCCCACAACCTAACCTGCTGTTTAAGCAGGGTCCTCCTGTATAGCAGTAGCCCACAACCTAACCTGCTGTTTAAGCAGGGCCCTCCTGTACAGCAGTAGCCCACAACCTAACCTACTGTTTAAGCAGGGTCCTCCTGTACAGCAGTAGCCCACAACCTAACCTGCTGTTTAAGCAGGGTCCTCCTGTACAGCAGTAGCCCACAACCTAACCTGCTGTTTAAGCAGGGTCCTCCTGTACAGCAGTAGCCCACAACCTAACCTGCTGTTTAAGCAGGGCCCTCCTGTACAGCAGTAGCCCACAACATAACCTGCTGTTTAAGCAGGGTCCTCCTGTACAGCAGTAGCCCACAACCTAACCTGCTGTTTAAGCAGGGTCCTCCTGTACAGCAGTATCCCACAACCTAACCTGCTGTTTAAG